TTGCTCCATGGAGAATACACCAAGGCTGCTGACATCTTCAGGTGTGGGGTGAGATGGAAAGTAGGGGAGCCAAGTTAGCCACAGCCTCTCACTTGTGGCTCTTGCTCACCACCTTATAATCCACTGTGATATAAATTACTCCTGTAATCCAGTAATCCGTGCTGGCAGTGTCTTTATCAGTGTGTTTTCTTTTCTTTCCCAGTCTCGGCATAACTATTTTAGAGATTGCCTGCAACATGGAGCTTCCCAATGGAGGTGAAGGATGGCAGCAGCTGCGACAGGGTTATCTGCCTCCTGAGTTCACTGCAGGTGAGTGGGAGCCACACACAATATTGACCAGAGCAAGACACAGTTAATCCTCATGAGAAGCAGGCAAATGGAAAAGTGTTCTTTAAACCAGGCGTGTTGAGGAGAAATTTCTGGTGACATGGAAAATTCAATATGCTGGAAAAAAAACCAAGATAAGCAACTTGAACATTCCTGCCCTTTTCAGATCTTTCTGCTGAGCTGCGGACACTTCTGGCTTCCATGTTGGAACCCAAACCTCATCTCCGGCCCTCGGTGGAGACACTGCTTGCTTCCAGCCTCATGCAGAGGACAGCAAGGTGGAGGAAGCTGATGCTTCTGGCACAATCTGGGATCCAGCAAGGGGTTTCCATGTTCAAAGTGAGCATGGGCTTCACCACTGATAATCACAATACTAATCTGCAGTTGTCTTCAACTGCATTTTTTAAGGCACTCCTAAGTCACCCCCTTCTTTGCACTGTGTTAATTGCAGCCCTTTCCTGCTTCAGTCAGTGTTTCCTTCCCAAAATGGATGCTGGTTTTCTTATGAGTGCTCCCGTGTACTCTCTGTGAGCGATTAAACCTGTAATATGTTAGTTTCTGTTGTTTGGGGAGGGGTGCTATTATACCAACCTCTGTAATGTTGCCTCTGTTTTGTATGAAAATGTCCCTATACACTGTTATTGTGTGGCATGGGAGCTATTTTTGGTCTCTCTCTTTCCTAACATTCAGTGTGTAACTCTTTCCTCCTGCTCATTGCAGATCTTCCTTAGGTTCATGCAGTGGGTCTGGGAGACTGTATGCAGCCCAGCTCACTGGCTGCTATTCTGGCACCGGAATGTTCCAGTAACACCTCCACATTCACCCCTGGTTCTACCCTTCCAAGACCTTTCTAATGACTGGGGTGAGGAGGAAGATGAAAATATTGAAGACAGCCTTGGCAAAGATGTCTTTGAGCTTTCAGGCACTGTTGGACATCACAACCACACTTGTCCCATGGAGCTACAGTTCTCAGACAAGTAAGTGGGGGATATGCATGGAGTGAGAGAAGGCATGATTAGTCTTGTAGCACTTGCTTTTATTTGTAGTTTTAATTGAGATAGGGTAGTATACAAATGATGATGATGATTATTATTACTATTTTATTTTCTCCATTGTCTATTGTCCATCCCTTTTTTAAACCTGTTTCTGGGTTTTGGGTTTTGCTTTTGTTTGTTTTTTGCCTTTTGCTAGCTCCAGAAAATTAAAGCTAATGATTTCCTAACACTGATAACCTCCACATTTTTGCTCTTCCAGACAGCCTGGTTCCCCAATCTGCCCATGTGTAGGAAGCACATCAACACCACGGCATCTTTCACCCCAGCATACTAATGGCAGAAAGAACAGGTGAGCTATTGATTAACAATGTCATTTTCTCCATCCTGAAGCTTTGTCAACACTTCATGGAGTGGAGTCTTTTGTGGCAAAGTGCATTGACATTTACACTGTCAGGGTAAATTTCAAGAGATCCTGATAGCACCTCCTAACCTATGGTTTGTTTTGTTTTTTTACAATCACTCCATTTTTCTTGATTTCTTGTAGGTCTTTGGTCATTCTCAGTAGCCCCAATCTCAGCTACATCGGCCGAAAGTCCCTGAGCAGCAGTCCTACTTCATCCGACTCGTTGCCTGCAGATAGTCTGCGGCGCACACTGGCTTTTGAGGATGATGATAAGGAAGATGAATGGGAACCAACTGATCCCCAGTGCTCCGATCAGTCCTCAACCTTTGAACCAAAAAATTTGCTGAGCATGTTTGAAGATTCCGTGACATCTGAGTAGAAGTGATAGAGCTGATGGCAACTTAGGTTCTTTTGTTACTCATGTGGTACAGAGGAGCCCTTCCGATCCATGTTACATATGGGGCCAGTATACTGAGGGGTTGAGCTGTGCCATAGAGCTAAATCTAGCAATGAGGAAACAGAGCTTCTAGGTATTCTGCCCTGAGGGTCTTCTCCGCTTGATCCCCACAGTGGCACTGTTTTTGAGATGGATATCCTTGTCATCAGGGGCTCAAAGCAGCATTTGCTGGATGGCAGTGGAAAACAGATAGTACTGTAGCACCAAAGGTCGTTTTAGAGGAACAAAGTCCCTCTTTTATGTAGGGATGTGGGTTTAATACATTATATGCACATTTCTTTTAAGTTTTGTCCCTTCCTGCTTTATATTTCTGCCATTTGTGGGACTGGGGCCTATTATCTTTCTCTTCCATTCTGGGATTTTACAAAGGGTGGCAGCTGTAGGATATGACAATAAAAGCATCTGTAAACGTCCACTGAATGTTATGTGTTTCTCTTCCTTACATATGACTAGATCACAGTCCAAGTTGGATCTCCATAAAGATAGAAGACCAATGTGAGGGTGGCTATTGATAACCAAATCAAATATTTTACAAGAAAATCCAGTTTCTGCAAGTCACTTGCCACTGAGTCAATCTATACAATTCGTTGAAGCTTTCAGTTTGTTTTTAAAACCAACTAATATGAAACTTTGAAAGTATACGGTGTGTTTTCTGAAATCTCAAGAGAAGTGTATTTAGAAAGAGCCAGGTAGTGGTTTTGAACTAGAAACATCTAGCTGTAATCCTGTTCGTAACAGGTATTAGTATCTAGTGCAGTGGTTCTCAACCTGTGGGTCCCCAGGTGTTTTGGTAATGTATCTGTATAATGTGTTTTAATGATTTTTACTGTTTTAATTGTAACCCTTGTTTATATGTTGACAGCATCACAATATGCTTATGTGAGGCAACCCTAGTCCCCCTTTGGGGGGAGAAGGGTGGGGTAGAAATGCATGTAATAAATAAATAAATAAATTTGGCCTACAACTTCCAGAAATCCCGGACAGTTTACCAGCTTTTAGGATTTCTGGGAGCTGAAGGCCAAAGCATCTGGGGATCCACAGGTTGAGAACCACTGATCTAGTGTTCCAGTTGCCTTCAGTTTAAACACAGTAGCTTGCAACCTAACTAGAGGAAAAGGCACAGTATATTTTGATGCTGAGTGGAGGTTGTCTTGTCAAATTAGATTTTATCATAAGAACTTCTGGAGTCTTGTATAATTTACTCTGCCCATTCAGTAATTTTACACTACAATTCTAACTGGATTTCTTTCCCTAGTGACTAACAATTAATGTGTGACTAACAATTAATGTGTACACAAAAGTAATTCCTCTTACCAGCTTGTTAAAATTGTGTACTTCAGACCTAATACTAAAGTTGAGTGTCAGTAACAAGGCATTTCAGTCTTCCCAAGTACAGATCACTTCAATACAGATGGAGCATATCAGAAACCAGAATATAAGAATGGTCTGGAAGCCCCACAATCAATCTAGCTTCCTCAGTGTTTGCGGCCTGCTTTAGCTCTTATGATATACAGTAGTGGGAAATGTGTTAAAATTTCTTTCTAAAGCTAGCTGTTCAAGAAACACCTCAAGTATACATGGCCTTATAAAGTATTCAAGTGGGGGTACATAGAAAGGAAATGACAGTACAAACCACAAGCTTTCTAAAATGCTAACTTCAGTGAAAGTAATGGAACTATTTAGGTACAGTTAATTCCACTGTTTTCAGCAAGACTGATTACTAAACTGTGAACTGTTATCTCACAGCTGTCCTAAACATTTTTAGGCCAAGTGGAATGAAGTGTGTTGTCAAAGACTTTTATGGTCGGAACATTGGGTTGCTGTGAGTTTTCTGGGTTGTATGGCCATGTTCCAGAAGCATTCTCTCCTGACATTTTGCCCACATCTATGGCAGGCATCCTCAGAGGCTGAGGGGTCTGTTGGAAACTAGGCAAGTGAGGTTTATATATCTAGAATGCCCAGGGTGGTAGAAAGAACCCTTGTCTGTTTGAGGTACATGTGAATGTAACAATTGGCCACCTTGATTAGCATGTAATGGCCTTGCAGCTTCAAAGCCTGGCTGCTTCCTGTCTGGGGGGAATCCTTTGTTGGGATGTGTTAGCTGGTCCTGATTGATTCTTGTATGGAATTCCCCTGCTTTTGGGGTGTTGCTCTTTATTTACTGTCCTGATTTTAGAGGGTTTTTAAAAATAGTGATAGCCAGATTTTGTTCATTTTCATGGTTTCTACCTTTTTGTTGAAATTGTCATGTTTGTAGATTTCAGTGACTTCTCAGTCTAGTCTGACATGGTAGTTGTTAGAGTGGTCCGTAATTTCTGTTCTCTCAAGTAATATGTTGTGTCCAAGTTGGTTCATCAGATGCTTTGCTATGGCTGGCTTTTCACAGCCACAGTATAAGTGCTTTATACAAAATGAAATACAGCTGACTTTAGCATGTAGCTGAACCCTTCAGCCAGAAATTCTACTTATTCTTAACTTGAGGTCAGTCTATTGTAGGTGTTCTAGACAGAATGGCCAGTGGTCATTCTAAAATCTGGATAGCTACAGGTTCCCACCTCTACAATAACTACCGCAAATGTAGTGTCATGGACAAAGCTCTAGTGTCTGGTGTATTGCACAGTTGAAAATGTCAGCTTGAAACCTGGGGAGTTTTCTTGCGTGTGCTACGAAGGAATAGAAGAGGGGTGTAACCTTCATTTATAAGACGCTTCTGAAGAACTCCAAAAAGAACAAATACCACTTCTTCGGGCTGAAAAGGGAGGGATAAAGTGTGGTAAATAAATAAATAAATTATGACAGGCCAGGCAAAACACAAGTGTTCCTTAGACATCTCTTTATTAGAAGCCCAGACATGCCATCTGTCCAGTAAGAGGTTCTGGGACCGTAAGCACCTACATTATCCTTCTCTCCCTCCTCCTTGAAGTGCATTTTAACTGGGTGCCTTGCTCTTTTATTTTAAAGAGATATGTCGCTTCAGCCCAAAGAAGCTGCGAACATTAACCATGTCCGTCTACCCTGAGATAACAAGAGACAAGACTGGGCTGTGGCAGCAGGTGAAACCGCTGCGGCCCAAAGTAGCAGTGCAGAAAGACGCTTCACACCCCAATGTGGGAGGCTTGAGTCAGTCCTTTCCTCTTCCTATTGCAGACCTGTTAATGAATCTTCCTTCTGCCACAGCAGAAGACAACCTGTGGCGAGTAAGCAGAAGGCCTCAGCTTGGGTATTCTCCACCAGGGCAGTAGACTTTACAATAGCTACTCGTCCCAAGACCCACTTTCCCATCTGCACTTTAGCTGCTTGCTGTTAAAGTTGTATCTGATTGGTCCAAGTTCTTATCCACCAGCTGAGTCATCCTCTCTAGAGAGGATGACAGATCCCAATTAATATGGCATGCATTTGCAGGACTTTTCCCAGGAATATACACAGCCCCAGGCTCCTGAGAGTTTTAGGAGGAGGAGGAGTGGAGATGCTCTGGTTGGTCTTCTGCTCACTGCACTCTCTCCCACCCACTCACTTTCCACTGAGTGAAACTGCAAGAGGGTAACTCTCCCACCCACTCAGATTCATAGAAAGATACAAATACATGTCATATCTTGTTTGGCTCTGACACAATCAAATCTAGATAGGTTTGTTTGCTACACACTGAGAACTCACTATCAGTGTGGATCAGCAGAATATGTCCTTAACTCTTTTCACACATGCTCTTTTGCTCAGCCACTGATACAGTATGGATTAAGACCGGTGCTGCATAGAAAAAAGAGAAAGCCCCACTGTAGGAAGGGAGGAATACCATCGTCTACAAGAGCTTTTTAAAAGCCACTTTCTTGTAATCTAGGTAAATAATATTTTGCTGAACTTAAAATAAAAATACCTTTATATGGATTGGGTTACTGGACTGGTCTGGGTGCATTCCTCAGAGACTCATCCCCAGCCTTCAAAAGTGATTTCATGATTGCTACCATGAAGATCTAAAACAGTGGTTCTCAACCTGTAGGTCCTCAGATGTTTTGGCCTTCAGCTCCCAGAAATCCTAATAGCTGGTAAACTGGCTGGGATTTCTGGGAGTTGCAGGCCAAAGCAACTAGGGGCCCACAGGTTGAGAACCACTGATCTAGAACAAATGCCAGCGGAAGAACCATTTACAATTTGGGTGAGGAACCTGTGGGCACTTCAGCCAGCATGGCTCACGGTTAAGAATCATGATACCAAAGTCCAATTTAAGCAGCCACCAAATACTCATTTCTGATTCACATTAAAAGCCAGACCATGATAGTCATTGAGGACCTGGCTGCTGAAGAGGGCCAAGGCCCACTGTTTTGAACAACAGAAACATATTTTTTTAAACTTTAAAATATATATATTGGCCTCACTGGCTTCAAGCAAGCACCTAAAATGGAGGAGCACCTAAAGGACTCTGGGCCAAATTTCAGACACCTGAAGAAAATGCCTGACCCTCCCAGTTCCTAACTTGGGGACAGAAGGGAGGACGAGGTGTGTAAAGGAATGGCCGAATGCCTTGCCAGAAAACGAACTGGGGCTCAGCCTTCCATCTCTATGTTCTTAAACAGCCCACAGAGAAATCTAGTTGGGCTCTGAGATAAGATGTTAACATTATTTAGAGCAGGCATTAACCTGATGATTCCAGTTCTAGGCAAACAAGCAAAACTCCACAGTAAACTCGTCACCATGGACCACTAATTCAAAATGCCAGCGAAAGGGGGGGAAATACTAATTTGGAAAGAGGAGTAGAATTATTTCCAAGCCGGCAACTCCCTTGAGAGCCATCAGGAAATAAAACTGAAACTAAACTCTGGAAAGCATATGCTCTGGCAGAAGTCTAGCTGGCAAAGGAGAAAAATAAGTATCTTGGATATATCTCAAAGTAGCAATCACTAGAAAAAAATCAGAAATAGAGACAAGCTGTAAGAGCCATAATCACAAATTTGGAGAAAACTACCAGAAGTGGAAACTTGAACCCCTGACCTTCCACCCCAACCCAGTTTCAAGGCCCCTGGTTGCCTCTTTGGCAGGGAGGGGGAAAGGAAATGCTGGTTCAGTGCTTCAAGTCATTTCAGAGCAAATTAAATACATACAGAGAGCATCTCTTTTCCAATCACTTGGCTAGCTGCATCCCAACTCTTTCCAAAAGAACCTCCCCTTCACTTAAGTGCAGCTGGCCTTGGCACCCAGGTGTCTAACCAGCCCTTTTTTAAAAAAACCCAGAAAGTATTGCATGGTGTCTGAAAGATACCTGGATAAAAAGTCTATTTAAATACCATGTCTCTAGAAAGCAGAGAAGCTGTACTCAAAACAAGCGTCTTCTACTCAATTACTCTTCTCCCAGTGCGTACTTCACCTTCAAAACAGGTGAAAATTAGGTCGAAGCAACAGTATTATTCCTTCATGACCACCACCAAAGCCCAGGAGAAAACTAGCTCTGGTGACAAAGACCTAGAGGAAGGCCCACAGCGTAGAGGAAATGACTGTAGGGTCCCAACAAGTTAGGAGTCTTAAGTCAGTCAGCCAGACCATTTCCTAACCAAATAATTCACCCCCATGGTAGTAATTTGGAAGAATAAGGGTAGACCACTAGCCGATTTCAAAGCACCTCAGATCAATAGAAATTCATTGTTTGACCCACAAGTGTCCTGATCCAATGGAAAGCCTTGGGCCCAGAAGGAGAGAACCCCACCCTGCTCTAAGTAGGTTGTTTCTACATACTTTCTTGTCCAATTCAGCCCTTGTAGAAGACTTTGAACAACAAGAACTAGTAGCCTACACTTCGGAAGCAGCTCACTTTTCAATCCGTGGGGTTTTCCTGCTGGAGGCTGGAGTGCGAGCCCAGACACAGCATGGTCATTCCATTGAGCAGGCGTCATTGGTGATCCACTGTAGATCAGCCACTACTCCCCAGTGTAAATAGAGGATGCTGACTACCACCAGCACGTGCATAATCTGATGGCTGTTGAACCAGTAGTCAAAACGTCCCGGCTTCCAGCGCTCGGGCACCCGCGAGATATTGATGACGCCCCCAAGGAAGGCCAACCCATCCATTATGAGGTATGAACGCAGCGAAGAAGGATGACCTGTTCCCAGTCCCATCCAGCGCAGGAAGAAGAAAAAGAAGCGGTACAGGGCCTGCCAGACAAAGGCCCGCAGGCGATTGACACTGGAGCGGGCAGTCACTGCGCAGAAGATGCCATAGCTTGACAAGCCGGTGTAAGACAGCAAGGAAATAGTGCGGGGAATTGGGAAGCAGGCCAGCGTGCAGTAGATGATTGGCAGAGCACCTGCAGAGGAGAAAGAAAAAGAGATAGACAGTCAATCTTTTTAGGAGGTTCAAGGACAAACGCAACTAGTAATTGGAGCTTGTGTGGCCAGCTTCTAGCACTCGCATGTTAGTAATTCTTGACCCCTAAATATTCACTAGTTTAGGGAATATGTAAGACCTGTGACAATCCCCCAGTCCCCACTTGCCAGGCAAAAACTGTAGCGATTCTTTTTATTGAGAAGCAGCTGAACGACATTTCCCCAACTTCCCCATACAAGCAACTTCTGGTATGAGGAAGAATTGCAACAAGGACCTTGCTTGTCAAAATGGAAAGTGATCATGGGAAGGGTATGTGAGCCTCAGTCGGCTGCATCCTGATCGACAGGAGAGTAGACCCTGTTGCCTGCAGTAGCTGCTTCCCAGTAAGTAGAGATCCACAGAGACCAGGCCAGAAGACACTACTTAACTACATAATTATAATTATATAATTATGTATAATTATAGCCGTCTTTCACCAAAAGCTGACTGAATCTGGACCAGGAGGCTACCCAACTCAAATCTGTTATTCCTACAATGCTTAAAGCAAAGCATATATTTTTACAATTTAATTAGGTTTGTTTAGGTTGTGTATGATACATCATTGAATTTTTTGCCGTAGTTTGTAAAGCCGCTCAGAGTCCCCTTTGGGATGAGAAGAGTGGGGTATAAATAAAGTAAGTAAATAAATAAATACATGCAGAAGGCCCTTGGTTCCCTTCCTGGCAACTCCCAGTTAAAACAAGGAGCAGGGTGGTAAAGGCCTATGCCCAATAGTACAGAAGTGCTGTCAATTAGTGGAAAATACTGGGCTAGGTGTCCCTAGCCCAGACTTGGAATACATATGGTAGCTTTCTAAGTGTCTTCCATAACAAATTCCATCACTTAATTGTGCACCATGTGAAGGAATTCTTTTATATATCTTGCATTTCCTACTATCAAACTTCATGAAAAGAATTTGGGTTCTAGTATTCTATCTGATTTCTCTTTATGGTTGTCTAGTTATGGGAATGTTTATGGTTTGTCAATCTATAGAAACTGCATCTTATGATCTTGGCAAGTTTTAATCAGAGGAGGTTTGCCATTATCTTCTTCTGAATACGGCCTATAGCACCTGATATCACCTGACAGTCTCCCTTCCAAGTGCTAATCAAGTCTGACCCATCGTTATGTTTAAGATTTGCTACCATCAGGGTATTTCACCTGCTACTATTTTTTTCACTGCCTTCCTATCATGTCTCTTCAACTCGCCTATTTGCTTTCTTCCCCCTAAATCAGTGGTTCCAACCTGTGGGTCCCTAGGTGTTTTGGCCTACAACTCCCAGAAATCCCAGCCAGTTTACCAGCTGTTAGGATTTCTGGGAGTTGAAGGCCAAAACATCTGGGGACCCACAGGTTGAGAACCACTGCCCTTAGTGAAAGGTTCCCAAAACTTTGACCTGAAATCTGTTGGCATGCAATCAGAGCATAAATGTCTGCCAGCATACATATGCTGGTGCTTGAAGATACTCGCTGTCATTTTGTTGGTGGCTGCCATGGTGTTATGCCGGCATTAAATCTATTTTAGTCATATGACTTACTACAGAGCTTCTGAAGCACACACATACCCTATGGCCATTCCATGCATGGAAAAGAATGGGTAGGTAGAGATATCACATAAGTGTCTGCCTTTGTCTATGTTGCCAGAGGTGAAGTGTTTATATCTACTGCTGAAACTTTTGGAGGCCTACAGTAACAGATGTAATTGTCTTATGCCTGCCCATGGATGCTCTCATCCAGCACATAATGGCTTCACAGTTCTATGGGAAATTTGGGTGTGGTAGTGGTGACAAATTCATCCTAATGGCACAGTTCCACATGTAGAACTACTACACTACTCTGAACCTTAAACTCACCCAAGGTGTTGACCATGCATATCCCACACATATCAAGGGTGAGCAAGGTATGGTAGACGGCAGGACCTCCCTCGTGATTCATAAAGAGGTGGTAGAGCACGCTGCCCAACTGTGGAAAGATACACGCCAAGTAGTGCACTATTCCCAGCCACGACACTGTGAGTCGGGTCCATGGAATGGTCAACGGCAGCACGACGAGACACCCAAGTAGAGGTATGCCTGGAAAAAAGAAAGAAAATCTCCAGTTGGCCTAGTATTGTGTCTCTGAAGAGAGTTGGAACTGGAAACTTCCCTCTCCTTGAAATCCATCCAATTCTATGTGCAATTAGGTGTAAATACAAGTTTCTTTCACATACTTTCCTCATTAGTTTTCAAGGTAAATGGCATTCACAAGTGACTTACCAGTGCAGCCTTCTGCTTCATTCAGACAAGATTCAAGGACATAGCCTTATTAGTCTCTTTCAACCTTTAAAGATGTCAAGAAAACATTTAGCATGTTCCAAAGGTTTTGTGGACTTTGTGGGTTTATCAGATGGTTTGGAATCCACAAAGCATATTATCTAAATTTATTTTTCTAAGTAAGTTTCAGGATTTTGTAGTTCTAAGCAGAGTTAGTAAAGTGCCTCTGCTTGTATTTTGATACTAAGAGATCCTCCATCAGCATCACCTCCTACTGCCCAGTAACTTCCCTTCAGTAGCTTTTTTATCTCTTCACACCATTGGAACTATCAGTTCTCTTCTGCTGATGCAGCAATTGTTCCCCGAAGAAGATGGCTGCATCCTAGTCAATGTCTTTACTTTGAGCTTTCCACCTTCGGTGACCCTATTAGGGCGGCATTTAGTGTCTTCAAAAAGTCTAGTTCCCCAACGTTGCTGCTCTCAGCTCCTCTGACATACTCAGACATCCTCACAAGAAAGAACAAGTACTGTATAATGATATATTAAGTAGAAAGAATACAAAACCAGGGTCGTCCATGTCACAATATTTCCAGTTCCTATGTATTAATGTGAAAGCCAGAGAGAGAAAGAAGCTGACAAGGAAGAAATCAACTCATTATAGATGTACCAGACGAGATTTCTACAGGCAGCATGGACTGATTTTTTATAGTCCTGAAACAAATCATGCTAGAAACCCCCCTAGAAGCCAACAAGACAAAACTGAGACTCTCATAACATTTTTTTTGGTGTCAGGAGCAACTTGAGAAACTGCAAGTCGTTTCTGGTGTGAGAGAATTGGCTGTCTGCAAGAACATTGCCCAGGGAACACCCGGATGTTTTGATGTTTTGCCATCCTTGTGGGAGGCATCTCCCCTCCCCCCCCCGCACAGGGAGCTGGTGCTGACAGAGGGAGCTCATCCACACTCTTCCCAGATTCGAACCTCCAACCTATTGGTCTTCAGTCCTGTTTAACCCACTGTGCCACTAGAGGCTCCCTCTCATAACATGAGACAACATGACTTGGAAAAAACAGCAATGAATGATAAAGTCGAAAGCAGTGAGAAAAGCAGCACACTTCAAAGGTGGATTGATTCAGTTAAGGAATTCCCAACCCTAAGTCTCCTATGGGCCGCCCATAGCTGAGCTGCTGAACTTGCTGACTGGAATGTTGGCAGTTCGAATCTGGGGAACAGGGTGAGCTCCTACTGTCAACCCCAGCTTCTGCCAACAGAACAGTTCAAAAACATGCAAATGTGACTAGATCAATAGGTAGCGCTTCATACTGGCCACATAACTTAGGAGGTGTCTACACACAACATTGGTTCTTCGACTTAGAAATGGAGATAAGCACCACCCCATAGAGTTGGACACGACTGGACTTAATGTCAAGTGGAAATCTTTACCTTTACTTAAGTCTCCTATGTCCCTTTGGACACTAGAACATCCAAGTCTCATTCAGTATTGCCAATGCTCTGTGGTAGTGATTCACAACGTGTGAGTCCCCAGATGTTTTGGCCTTCAACTCCCAGAAATCCTAACAGCTGGTAAACTGGCTGGGATTTCTGAGAGTTGTAGGTCAAAACACATGGGGACCCACACGTTGAGAACCACTCCTCTGTGGTGTTGGGAGTTCCAGTTTGATATCTCCGAGGGCAGATGTCTCGTCACTCTAACAACGGGAGTTGTACCCCAAAATCACCTGTGCTGATTCCTGAGCAAGTAAGAAGCAGGGAGGTGATAGTAAAAGTGGCAAAAACACATTAACTAGATTTCTGGGTGGTTGTAGGTTTTTCCGGGCTATATGGCCATGTTCTGGAGGCAATTTTTCTCCTGACACTTCGCCTGCATCTATGGCAAGCATCCTCAGAGGTAGTGAGGTCTAGATTTCTCCTTCTCCTGGAACTAGTCACCCTAAAACCACACGCCTGTCTATCCCTGTTCAACTTTTTTTTCACCCTCTGTAGCCCTTTTCTTACCCTCTGCACCCCTTTTCTTGCCCTCCACACACATTCATATCTCTGGGGGGTTACAGCTTAACACAAACAGATCAGGTCTCCCTGAGCCCTATTACTGTGCTAATTGCAGCTGCCTGAAGCCAGGTCTCAATTAGGAATGTGATAAACACGCCCATTGGAGTTCATTAAGAGGCCAGAAATTCTCCTTGAGAGGCATGAGAGGGAAACAGGAGAGACTCTGCAGGGGATTGAGTTAGCCGCCCAGCCCAGGGGGGTCTCTCACCTCACCCAAAGCTCCAGATGGCACCCAGGGCCACCCTGGCCACCCTGCTGGCATTCCCACCCACCCGGCAGACCTCCTGTGTCTTCTAACAGCTTCACAACACACAGCAATTGAGTTGATGAAGCCCCAGCCAGCATCCCTAACTAGCTCAATTACGGCATTTATTTTGCCAGGAAAAGCTTTGTCTCTTTCAAGTTGTGCCTGGCACATTAAAAAACACAGGCTTTCTGTAAGAAGAAGAAAAAAAGTGAGAGAACAGTCAGTAGCTGCCCCTTGTCGCTCTACATCAGAACTGGAAAGTTTTACTTTTAGAAGGCCACAACACTCCAAATCCTCTAGGTAAGGTAAAGGTTTTCTCCTGACATTAAGTCCAGTCATGTCCGACTCTGAGGATTGGTGCTCATCTCCATTTCTAAGCCGAAGAGCCGGTGTTGTCCATAGACAGCTCCAAGGTCATGTGGCCAGCATGACTGCATGGAGCGCCGTTACCTTCCCGCTGGAGCGGTACCTATTGATCTAGTCACATTTGCATGCTTTTGAACTGTTAGGTTGGCAGAAGCTGTGGCTAACAGCGGGAGCTCATGCTGCTTACCRGATTTGAACCTGCAACCTTTCAGTAAGCAAGTTCAGCAGCTCAGTGGTTTAACCCACTGCACCACTGGGGGCTCCTATCCAAATCCTGCATCCATAYAGTTATTTTTCTTGATTATTTGTATCTGCAACAAGCTTTACTGTTATTGTTACATGCCTTGAAGTTAACTCTGACTTATAGCAACTCTGTACTAGGGTTTTCTTCACAAGGTTTTTTCAGTGGAGGTTTGCCATTTCCTTCCTCCAAGAAGAGATATTGTGACTTGCTCAAGGTTACCCAGCCAGACTGCATAGCTGAGCAAGGATTCAAACACTGGTCTTCCAGAGTACTAGATCAACATGGAAGCTACTCTATTGCAATGGTTAACGTCCTGAAAAAGATACCTACTTCCTATGGCTTTTTTTCCATGTCAGAAGTGACTTGAGAAACTGCAAGTCACTTCTGGTGTGAGAGAATTGGCCGTCTACAAGGACGTTGCCCAGGGGACACCCAGATTTTTGATGTTTTTACCATCCTTGTGGGAGGCTTCTCTCATGTCCCTGCATGGAGAGCTGGAGCTGACAGAGGGAGCTCATCCAGGCTCTCCCCAGATTTGAACCTCTGACTTGTCAGTCTTCAGTCCTGCAGGCACAAGGGTTTAACCCATTGCACCACTGGGGGTGCCTTCTATTAAATCAGTTAGCTGGTCCATCTAACTCAGGTCCATCCACTCCAGCATCTCCTACTGGTGACAATGGGAACCGTAGTCCAATAGCTATGGTGAGCACAGAGGCCTGGAGAAGCATGGCTGTTTTAAGGGTTTGTGAAACATTAATGCAGTAAGGTAATTTTTTTCAAGCTGTGCTGAGGAAAATAGTTATCTGTTTTATATCTGTTTATATTTGGTCCATCTAGCTCAGGATTATCGACACTGCCATCTCCTAGTTATGATGGGAATTGTAGTTCAGTATCTATGGTGAGTACTGGGCTGGAAAAGCATGGCTGTCTGCAGGGTTTCGAATGTTATAGTGCAATAAGGTAAGTTTTCTAAGCTTTCCTGATGACAACAGGTATCTAATTTATATTAGGTCTGATTATTGATTTGTCTAGCTCAGTGGTTCCCAACCGTGGGCCACGAGATCCAAAATAAGGTCAAGACATGCATTTTTAGGCCTGTTATTTGGGGTGCTGATTCAGAAAATTGCACTGTATAGACCACATCAGCTCTAGATTATTAAATATAGTTTTCTGTGGGCGAGCAGATGGCAACTATTGGATGGCATATGTTCTGTATCAGAAATTAGAGTTGATGTGGTCTATCCAATGCAATTTTCTGAATCAGCACCCCAAATAACCAAACCAAATCTAAAGTTGACCAAAAACTGATTTGTAGAACCATTGGTCTAGCTCATGACTGTCCACAACAGCATTCTCCATTGGCAACAACAGGGGTTCGAGTTCAACCTAATCTAAAGTTGACCAAAAACTGATTTGTAACCTTTTGGTACTAATGTTGGAGAGTGGTCCCTGATCAAGGTGGTCCCTGGTCAAAGTGGTCCCTGGTCCTAAAAAGATTGGGAACCATTGGTCTAGCTCATGAATGTCCACATCAGCATTCTCCATTGGCAACAGTAGGGGTTCTAGTTCAGCACTTTGGGGAGAGGCACACTCACTAATATTGGTTCTCGAGAACTTCCAAGAGAATACCAGGAGAATGATGACCAAGCATGGCTTTTGACTTCACACCCTACTCAGTGGAGACTGTGGGGTTTGAAATACAAGAACCTGGGCTCAAAGGGCTAAGAAACAGCACCTACAAGAAAAGTGAGGAGCCTTTGGCCTCCAACCACCACCAGATCATGTCCGGTGAAGGAGTATGCAAGCTGTAGCCCCAAACATTTAGAGGCCCAACGGTTCTCCATCCTGGCAGGCTTACAAGGTGAAAGTGGGCATGCTATCTTTAACAAAACCC